GGCTTCTATGTATGCCCTTTGCCTCCTACTTCTTTCCTCTATTTCCTTATGCTTTCCTCCTGTCCCATTACCATGTTCAGCCTTCATTCTGGTTTTGGTAATTCCTCTCAGTTACCTTGCCCAAACAGAGCTTTACATTTAATATTTAAAGCAATGATGCATTTTCAGCAAGGGACACTTTACAAAAATGTGATCTATGAATTCAGATGGTACAGGTGCTTGAGAGATGCAGCTGAGGGCACTCCTACATGTCTGTGAATCTTAGGTGCGGCCATGTAAAAAAATCACCATTCTAAATGGAATGCCATGAATTTTTAATATATTTTTTAAAGACGTAAAATGATTGGGATTATGTAACCTATGGCATTTCCCTTTTTGCTTCGGCCATTAGGAAACTCATGTCAAGTTTGTAGCTCAACATAGAAACTAGCAAAACCTGCTGCTTCTTATAAAACTGTATTTAAATTCATCTCCTGGCTTTGCATTATTTTAATTCGAATTTTCCTGTGTTCTTATTTGCAGGACCCCTAACAGTGTAGTGTTATGTGTTGGGCTACTAACCCTGAGGTTAGCAGTATGAAACCATCAGCAGCTCTGACAGAGAAAGACGCGGCTTTCTATTCCTGCAGACAGATGTAGTCACGGAAACCCGCAGGGCCAGTTCCATCCTGTCCTACAGGGTCCGCTTGAGTCAGAATTGACCCAATGGCAGTGAGCTTTGTTTTGTTTTTATTTTAGCATATTCTGTATATGGTTGACTTTGTTTGTCTTACTAATATGTTAACTTCTTTTAGAAACAGAATGGGATCAAACTGAGTAGATGTAATGATTAGTAAAATAAAGTTTAAATGATTCTGATGTTCTTAGGGATTTAAGGAAATGACATTACTTGTCTTAGTAAACAATTGAGAATTGTGACACAATTTTTAAGTGGGGAAAGACATACAAAAACAGTATACCTTTAACAACGCTGGGTAGTGGATGAACTAAGTCAGTAATCAAGGTCATCTGGATTCAGCCTCTTTGTCTTTTCTGGACCATTTGCCTCATTTTACTTATCACTGTACTTCCTATTGTATAACATTATCGTTTTTCAACCTCTGTCACATCTCCAAGGTGCCCTGAATGGCACAGGGGCGAATGTGTCATCAGGGTGCTAACGAGAGCTGGTTTGAACCCACCAGCAAGAGAGAAAGGTGGCTGTCTGGTTCCATGCAGACGACAGCTGGGGACGTGTCATGGGGCCATTCTGCCCCATTCTGCAGCATCGCTATGAGTTTGCATTGATTCAGTGTCATTGAGTTGGTTTGTTTTGGGTCTTGATGACATTTGTACTTACTTATTTGTCAGCATTCGATAGTCTGCCACCTTAGTAGACAAATCAAGTATGTGGTCCAAAACTTCTGCACATAATGAATAATGCTTTTGGTAACGGGCTTGTGCTCTTTCCGCAGCAATTTGCTCATGAATGGCCTTCTCTCTCAGGGCTTGTTCCTCAAAATCAATCTTGGCTTGTTTTGCCAAAGCCTAAAAAAGAAAAGAAATAGTTTGGAATCACTACAATTTGAGAATGATTTAAATGAAAATGTCAAAATGTTGATAGCCGACAAAAGCACTAAATAGAATGAAAAATCTCCTTATGCCAAAAGAAATGAATGACTGAATCCCTTCTCTTTAATATATTAAAACATTGAGCATGTTGTCTGAGACAGTATTAGAAACATTCCACCCTTAGCTTATCATACAAGTTAGACACTGAAAACAGAATACAGTGAAAAATGGCCTAACTGGGGACACTCTAATGTAGACGAAGGATCAACTGCATCCTAAGCATTGAAAGAGAAGGATTGAGCTCACAATGGTCAGGGTGAACATGGTCAGGGCTTGAGGGACATAGAAAATACAACCAATCTGGTGCCGGCTCCCAAGCCTGCTCTCAGGAGGCTCAACCTTGAGGCAGGCTTGGTGTACAAGCCCCTTTGTCTTTTAGTAGCGGAGTTCCAGGATTGTAAGTTTTACTTAGAAAATAATTAGGAAATCCCCTGGTCATTCTGGTTTGAAAATAGCACACAACTGCCAGCATTGTTTCCTTGGGAACGCAGCACACCCTCCCACCGTCTCCTGCTGTTACAGCATTCATAAATTAATAAACTCCGTTGGTGTAAACATCTATGTCTATGTAACAAAATAATCCATTTGACATCACTGTCTACTTGGTTTACACTTTTATTTTCTTAGGAAGTCTTTTCTTCACACTAAGCATGAAGGTCAAACTCAGCCTAGCCAAGGTGAGAGAAACACAGGGCTGCATGATCCCAGGGCTTCCCATAGCCAACATGTTGCTTTTCAAAAGCTATGTCAACTCCAAGAGATCCCATCATGTGCTCATAAATGGAACTTGATTCCCATGACCCATTTCAGAGGGTGTGCAACAGAAGTGAATTTGGACTTTCAAGGAACTGGAGTCAAATCGAAGCCCCAGCTTGTGAACAACATCAAATGCTGCCTGTGAGACGCTGGGCACCAGTTCTCATCCTACAGCTCCATTTCTTCAATGCAAGGTTGTGTGGGTTGTGGTTAGGTGTTGGCCAGTTGGCTCCTACTCACAGCAATGCGATGGACAACGGAACGGAACATGGCCGGATTCTGCTCTGGTCTTTCAACTGCTGTGAACGTCTGAGCGCATTGGGGAGACACTCTATTGATCCAGCTCATCCAGGCTCATCCTGTGTTTTTGCTAACGCTTCACTCGAATAAGCATGATGTTCTTCTCCAGGGAGTTGCCTCTCCTGGCAATATAGCCAAAGTACCTTAGACCCTGTCTCACCGTCTTCACTTCTATGGGGCAACATCCTTGACTAACAGCACAATTCAATGCTTTCTCCTTCATAGTGTAGGGCAGTCCATTATTTAATGTGACTCTTCTAGCCACAGTCTCTGTGACTCCCACCAAACCCCCACTTCTGACGGGCTGGGTAAGAGCAGGTGGAGGAAGATACAGTGGTGAGGACTTTGTTAAGAAGATTCATTATGATTGCCATCCTTCTGAGTCATCTCAGAAGCAGGAAGAGGGAACTCACTACTTGCAAGAGCAGGAGTGGAACCCATCCTCTGGATCCCAAGATCCCCTGTGCAGGCAGTGAGCCTTCTTGATCTAGAAGACAGCTGTGACAGCAGAGGAGTGGCAGAGAAGCAGCAGCAGCAATAGAGCCCGGATCCGGAATCTGAGACAGGACGTTGGACTTCCCAGCCCATAGAGCAAGTAAAGCTGAGTGCCTTGACGTTGAGGCTACATTGCAGTGTCATGTGCTTTGGGAATTTATTAGAAGCCCCAAAGAACTTTGTCACATGTTCAGACTGAACCACTGTGTTCTGAGCATTTCTCACTTGAATTGTAACCTGCTAACTTCCATAATAAATTCCCTAACGGTAAGCATCGTTTGTGAGTTCTGGGTGGCCGTTGCAATGTGACGAGTCCAGAGGAAGGACGGATCAAAAGGAGTAGAAGTTAGATACGAGTTTATGGAAAGAGAAGACGAATGTGGAGGCCGAGGCTGAATTCTCCAGAGTCCGTGAAACAGGCAGAAATAGGAAGATAAGATGCCACGTAACCCTCCGAGGGAACAATCGAGCTTCCCTATCAAAAATAGAATAGCTTTCATATGTGCTTGGATGGCTACAATAGTCTCCTACCCCTTCCCTCTCCTCCTTTCCTTACCAGGTACCTCTACCCCACCCTACCTGCTGACCACACCACTATTTCCTGCCCCATGACAGCAAAGTGGGTTGCAGCCTAAAAAGAGAAAGAAGAAAAAGAAAAAGGAAGTATGTGGGAGGTGACAAATCTCTGTGGTTTTGAGCTGGGACTGGAGTCTGGTAGAACTGGTTTTGCTTGTTGCTCCACCACTGAGAAGCTATGGGACCTCAAGCCCTCTAAGCTTCATCTTCTTTAAGTGTAAATTGTAGCTCAAGAAAGTGTCTGCCTCAAATTGTTGTTGTGAAAATTACATGCTAAAACCCTTCACGTCTATTGGAACCAAACACCATTCAATCAGTTCAACTCTAACCTCTCTCTCTCAAAAAAAAAAAAAAAAAAAGATGAAACAATGACCCAAATAATTCAACTCTTGAAGCTAAAGAAGTAATTTGGGGTCAGTGACCACGTAGCTCAAGTTCATGGCTTATGACTTCTCCTCCCCACCCACCCTCAGTCCCAATATTTATGCTGGATTGGGTCTATAAAGGCAGCATACTGTTTTCCTGTCTCTGGAGACCATGGTATTTTCCAAATGATATTTCTAAAACTTACAAAGAAAGTCCTGCTTTCCTGTTTTCTGTGCAATGATCTCTTCTGCCTGGGTTGGTTTTGTGAAGGTTTTTATGGCAGTAAAGACAAGATATCTAAAATATTATTTACATTCATTTAAACCATTAATAAAATATATCTAGCTTTTTAGAATATGTACATATGCATATATTTTAGAATATGTACATATGCATATACACATGGACATTATAATTATAATTAAAAATAGCAATGTGTTAAATACGATTTTCAGCGGTTAAAGGGCATGTACTAAACGCAATCACAATAACAGAGAGCACAGCTAGCACCCAGATCTGGGTGTCTGTTGATTCCCCTCCACTACAATGAGCCAGGACACCTTGGAGAAATGGCTTATTCTAGTTCAGGGGAACGAAAGTCCACAATGGGTCTAAGAAATCTTGTCTTATCAGAAGCAAGAAAGGACTTAGTAGACAATAATGTCATTATGGAAGGGGACAGCTTAAAAGTTCTCTTCAGGACCTGAGAATATGCACCAAGATTGACACGCCAAGGCCTACTCTCCATCCAAGTACTAACCAGACCAGACCCTGCTTAGCTTCCGAGATAAGACTAGATCGAGCCTGTTCAGTGTGGTATGGCCGCAGACAGCCTACTCTCAGAAACAGTGAACTTTAAAGGAAAAGGAAGGCTTTGGGCATATAGACAGATAATAAGCAATGACTCATGGGAAAAAAACATTAAATCACACGAATTTTTTCGTGGACAAAAGGACAACACAACAGGGCACTTTAAAACAAAAAATAAATCCCTGGAGTCACATGATTTAATATGTTTAAGAAAATGAGTCAAGAATTTCATAGGCAGCAAATATAATCTTCAAGATAAAAGGCATAAACTGTTAACAATATACAAGAACTCAGGGAATATTGTTCCCATGAGACCTTCCTGAGCGTATCTTGGCAAGCAAGCTTCAGGCAACCAAAATGACTAGAGTGACATTGGTAGTGAGTGCTCATTCTTTAGTTAGCTATAGAACCAAGACTACAGAGATTATTGCATGCAATGAACTTTCACTCCCTCAACAAGTTGCACAACTATAAAAACAGAAAGAGAAAAGGGAGGCGATAGTACACACACACAACTATTATTAGGTAATCGGCAACAACCTCTGGCTTTATTTACCATGACTTGATAGAAAAGATGGAAGGTAAGCTTAGAAAGATTTGTAAGGGAGATAGTGCTTACCGCTTCTCGATCAAGAGCATCCTGGAAATCTTTCAGTCGTCTTTCCTCATATTGTTTTTCTCTGAAAATTCTATTTTGCCATAAAACTTCCTTTTCATGGCGGACATGCATGAGCTGCACAGCAATCCTGCGCTCCTGTTGGGACTGCCGCATCAGTCGGTGAATCAGCTGCTCCTCCCGGTAAGCCTCCTGAAAACACCATTGGAAGAGCTGATTATTTGGGAAGATCCTGTCTAGATTCCCCTTTGGGCTAAGACACTTGGACATAAATCATTTTAAAAGCTATGATGCTATTCTTCTAAAACAAAGTCTACCCCTTGATTTAATTTTGAACCTGGCAAATCTCAAATCAGGAGTCCTGATAGTCTAATGGCTATGCGTTTAGCTGCTAACTGCAAGGTAGCAGTTTGAAAGCACCAGTGGCTCCTTGGAAGAAAGAGGAGGCTTTCTACTCCTGTAAACAGTGACAGTCTTGCACTCCGACAAGGGCAATTCTACCCCGTGCCAAAGGCCCATCCCCAGTCAGAATGTGCTCGATGGCAGTGAGTTACAGAGAAAAATTAAATTATAAAAATGAAACTCTCTGACCATAGGTTGTATGATGTGACCACTAGAAACACAGTGGTCCTGTAACTCACTATTATTTTACTGTATTTTTTAATCATTTTATTGGCATATCACTCACATATCACACAACTTAATTGTTCAGTTATATTAAGAAGTGTTGTTCAATCATCACCACAATCTATTTCAGAACAGTTTCTTCTTTCTTGTACTCATTGTTGTTAGCTCCCCATCTCCCGCTACCTTACCCTGCCATGCCCCTAGGTGATTATTTACCCAGTTACTGTCTCTATAGATTTACCTATCCTGGTTTTTATATACACTAGATCCTATAAATCACAAACAAGAAACAGATAAACCGGCCAAAACCAGTAACAACGAGACAAAACAGGAAAACCTCAATAGAAAATAAAGCAGAAAGTATTAACAACAAACAATTGGGTCAAAAGAAAGGAAAGGACAAGGTATTACATTTTATCTTAACTATACTTGCCATGCTTTACAATGCTCTCTGCCTGATAGCAAGGTTGCCTGTGGTCAGAGGGGATTCACCCATTGCTTAATCTATGTGGGGACCCTGAAACTGGATTTTGGTCTTCGGCTGTTATCTACAGCCTTCTGCAAACCGAGTGTTCAGAATTTAGGCTTGATACTGTTCCTTCCTTCTGATCCAGATTCCACCACTTAGAATTCTTGGATCGCACAGGCTGATGTGCTTCTTCTGTGTGGCCTTAGTTGATGCCTCACTTAGAAGGCTTCTTGTTTTAAGCATTGAAGACCCCGGATGGTATTCATCCTACTACCCAGGCACCACCTGGTGTCTTCACCACACTTTGCTACAGCACCCATCTCTTCAGGGATCTCTTCATGAGGGAACTATCGAGTAGGGCCCTTCACAATTAGTTTCCATGAATGACTACGTCTTCTGAAATCTCATCAGAATACAAAATTAGTGATTGTTCAATGCTTTATAAACAAGAGATGTAATATTCAATTTATAATATGTTAAGAGTTTGGAGTTCTAGTGAACCTATAGGACAGAGTAGGACTGCTCCTGTGTGTTTCTGAAACGATGCTTACTGACAGGGGCCGATGGCTTCGTCTTTCTCCTGTGGAGAAGCTGGCGGGTTAGAGCTGCTGACCTCTTGGCCAGCAGTCCAAAACACACAGCACCAGGGCTCTACTGGATCGAAAATGCATGCAGACCTTTTCTACCTAGAGATGGCAGACCTGATGGGCACATTTCATTTTCTGCATAAAGAACAGCTCATTGGATAGGAACCTGATTGGACAGGCAGACTGAAACAAGGACAAGGAAATAGGACCTATTGTTTTCTTTAGAACATCGGAGTAAGGGGCAATGATCTGAAAGAACATTTCGATGGTATAATATCCGCTTACTCAATAGGGGCCAGCAAATGAACAGTAGGAAACCACTAGCTAGGAATCAGCAGACCTGGCCACTGCAGTCTTAGTGGATTAGCTGTGTGACCTTGACCAGGTAACTTGGGTTTTTCAGGGCATGTTCCTGGGTAGATTAGATGAAAGGTAATCGCCAATGTCCTGTCAAGCTCTCTTACCCTGTATACACAGAGACATCATGTGGAAGGAGGAGGTAATGATGGGACTCTTCAGTGGGAACAACTTTGGACAACTTTTAAAAAACACCTACACACTGGAGATTTCTATTGACCACTCAAGAATTCAATAATTTAGGAACATAATCTGGCACCACTAACACCAGCACTTGATATCTTACATTATACAATTTCAAGAGAAATACAGTGTGTTAGAGAATAAGGCTCTGAGGCAATTTTTAAAATCCGAACTAGGAAATCATGTAAGAATGGAGATTAGATGATACAATCTAAACTGAAAATAAAATAAAAATTTTTCGAATACAACGCAATCCATTAAAATAAAACCAAGAACAACTCAGCAGGGGTACAACTCTTGCAGTTATAAAACCCTAAAAATGTTCATGTTCATCATTGATGTTCTTGGAAGATCCAACAGTAGATGTGTGGCAGAATATAAAAATGGCCACAACTGATCCCATTTTCTGCATCTGTGGCCTTGCAGTGATACTTTGAAGATATTCCCATCAAGCATGGAAATCTGTTTCCACCACCACAAAATATAGGTTGTGGAATGATTGGAAATGACCATGAGACAGCAGCACAAAAGACGCTACATTTGGAATCTGAATTTCTTATTGCTCTTGGAACTTCTGCTAACACCATATACATCACCCCAACCTGGGCCTTGCTGTAATATGGGGGACCACACAGAGCCCCAGTTTTCCCAGATGGTCCTCACCAAACCTTCATAAACCAACCAGCTGACTAATGATGCATATGTGAGCCCAGCTGAAACAAAAAGAACAGCTCAGCCCAGCACGAAGAAAAAGGCAGCAAACTCGTTACATCGAGTAAATGCCAGCTCATAAAGACCCTGTAAGGCAAAGTAGAACCACCCTGGTTTTCCACACAGCAATAGGTAAGTGGTACTTAAGGTATGGTCCTGGTCATCTTCGTGAAAATATATATTTCCTTTTACTTTTTCCCCTCCAAGTGAATGCTAGATTTGTCTGTGTTTTATGGCAAAGAAGTTTAAATGTCAAGATGACATCTGGTTATTCTGACCTTCATGATGAAAACATGCTGGACTGACCAGGTAGGGTTGATTATTTCCTGGCTAACACTCTGTTATGAATAAAAAGGAAATTAACAACAGCATTTTAGTTTAAAGCCTGGACTGGTAACTTAGAACAAGATCCAAGAACTGAATGTAGAAAAAAATGCTCATTTTTGTTCCACTTACAATTTTCATAGTTTAGAGATAACTTGTTTCCCAAAATTTAATTGGCAGGCGGGGCATAGTTTCTCACAGAAACAAGGCTGCTTTGAGATCTCAGAGCAGCCCACAGCTGTTTGTTTAAACTCAGAGTGTACATGAAATATTGGGTATTTCCAATACAAAAATGAAAAAAAAAAACAATTGAAAGTTCTCTTTCCGTTATATTTAACCTTATCTGGGGAGGTCTTAGACAACTAGAGAATCCTGAATATCCTCAACAGGATGGTTTGACTTTCCGCTTCCCTGGCTGGGGTTGGTGCTGGAAGTTTATGCTGGGCCAACAGCTCAGCTTAATTCTCCAAAGATGTTAGAGCATCTTCCACCTTCAGAAGGTGCACTGAAGAGAAGTTCTGGCACCTAAGTATTCAAGGATCTTTTAATTTAAAGGGAAGGAATGTGGCATTAAAATGCTAATTCCCTTTTCTAAAGCATAGAAACGATTCTGAGATGCTAGGCAAATGACTACAGAGTGAGCTGAGAGTCAAATCAAGTTCCAAGCTTGAATATTTTCACCTAAATGTCTACAATGTACTTCAAAGCACAGAACAGACCCGTTCCCAGGACTGGCCCTTCTCAGGTGACCACACTAGGATACTACTTTTCATCAGGGCTCTTCTAAAGGTCTCTTTTCTTATCACTCCTAAAGCCTAACTCTTTAAGAAGTATGTATATTTTTTGTCTCTCATATATGTCATAAAACCACTCCTTTCCCCAGGGACAAGGGAACAACAAGTGATCCAAATTTGTGGTGAGGTGGGTGTAGCAGGCCTGGTAGGGCATGACCAAGGGTAATGTAACCGAGAGGAACTACTGAAACCCTAATGAAGGCTGAACATGATAGTGGGACAA